CACACGTTAACTAAGCTGCCCCCAACCATTCCCTATAAGAAGTCACACAGACCAGGGATGGATTTTTAAACAAATAAAAGAACAAGGTTTATTTAAAGCACACACAGGGAAAATAAAATGATCAGGTGAATAAGATTCAGTAACGTGGCTTAGTTTCACTCATACATACACACAGTTTGGTTCACACAGAACCCTTAACTTGAAGCACAGACCCTGAACCTATCAGTTCTGGCTAACCAACAGACACCTGAACCTATCAGGTTGGTACTGACACACAGTAGTACCCTGTCTGACACACAGACTCCCACACCAGCTTCTTCTTCCCAGCTGCTGCTTCTTCACATCCCAGCGTCTCCTCTTCACCACACAGGCTTCACATATATATACAGTACAGCCCCTCCTCCTGATGTCCCGCCTTCCACTCCCCATAGGATGGAACTTTCCCTCCAAACCCATGACAGACAGATAACATCAGTGCTGTATGTAACAGAAACATCCTTTGATGTCCTAAAATTGTGACTGCCAGTCCCGGGTATAACGTATGGCTGCTATGACTGGGATTGGTTGTTATGGGTATATTATGCCAGTATTCAACTTCATTGTCTCATAGTCCTAACCCAGTTCAAGTCCTTCAGTTTGAGACCTTGGTTGAAGAATTGCCTCTTCACACATGTCCCTAAACTCTTAAGATCACTCTCTGAATACCCCTACCAAGTAACATATGGTGAGATGAAAATCTATCTGTGTTTATGAAAAGCTGCTTGAGGTGGGGTTGGGGTGGCAACAATGGGATTATGAACCTCCTTTTTTATTGTTAGAGTTGAAATCCATGACCATCTCATTGCCTTTTACTCCAAGCAAGGCAGAAGAATGCAAGGATCTCTTTTTGCATGAGAGAGATCCTTAGAAATCCCTTCTTTGTACCTCTTGGAACATTTCCTTTCTTATGGGATTGTACCTGCCTAGGAGTGCTGTTACTCCTGAGGAGAAACAGTCAATTTTTTAGGATGAGAACGACAGGAAGTCCTGCTTTCGTTTGCAACAAACTATCAACTGAGGCAAAAACTTTTTCTTCATTTGGAAGATACCTTAGTCAGTGTTTAGCATTCAAGATGCAGAGCTATGATCAGATGCTTTGTGAATTCTCCTTTACCGTTAATTGCAATACAGCCACAGCAGCAAATCCATGTAGATTCTTAAAATCCATCAAGATAATGTCCCTGATCCAGTGGGGCACATTTGTGAATGGAACTCCTTGTCCCAGTGGAATGGGAGAGGTTGGTCTCCACTTCCTTCTGAAACTGTGCAAACACCCCCAAACCTGCTCCAGAAGGCTGGTGTGATATCTGGAGCCAGATTTCGAAAATGTAATGTCCAGCACTAGGGGTGGTGGTGGAGGAAGCAGAAGAAGAATTAATTTTTCCAAGTTCTGATTATACGTATAAGAATTATGACTAGGATAGGCTTGTTATTGTGTAAAACAATCAACTTCACCACTCTAGACAAAGAGATACATAATATTACATTCTGGCTCTGTGTATTAATTAGCTTTCTAAAAAACCTAAATTGCAGCAATTTGTATCTTACAGAATTTGTGTCTTACATTTGCAGCGATGGCCGCCTCTTCGATTACACTTAGTCAGAGTTCCCAAGAGAGACAAATTTGACTCACTGCTACTTGCTAAACTGGTCAGATTTTAATTTTCCTCTTCCACCATCCCTTTTGCTTTTCTGACTATCACATCATCAACAGCTGACAATGAGACATAAAAGTTGGTAGCAAGTGACTCCACCTCTTCCCTGGTGACTACCAAAATACCCTTGCTAGGTTTGCTCTGACTAGAGGTCCTCCCACCAGGGAAATGAAGATTACAAAAGCAGGATTTAACTTCCTAATAGCATTATTGTACTAAATTGAGACATGTTACTGCTTCGGAAGTCAAACGTCAAGAAGGAAAAAGACCTGGGGGATTTCCCACAAATCAATTTCACTTTGTAGTGCATCCAACCACAACAGAGCTCACTTTTGGTACTAGATTGTCTATGTGCAGAAGATTCTTGAAGAAAAAAATAACTAGTACATAGCTGTGTTTCATGCAGTGTAAAAAAGGAAATGTGAGTTTACTGAAACACAGAATTAAACTAGGATCATTATGTGTTGAATAATTCTTCAGATGTAGAAACCTTAATCCTCTTCATAACTTCACAAAGAGGACCTGCACTTCACCTAATTTAATGGAAGAGGAATGCATTAGTCCTTACAAGCTGATGCATCACCCAACCCAATAGAGCCCAACACTCACACAGAAATTCTTGTATAATAGATATTGGGGGAAAATGAGATGGGTCTCTCTCTCCTTCTATTCCATATTATTACCAATTTCAACTGGAGTGTAAAGTGTACCCTGATTTGCCCTCATATATTAAATGGAAAACATATTTTTTTCTCTCCCTTAGCAGGAAAGCAACATTTTAAAAATTGGTCTGGGAGACAATTTGGGCGTTGTAAGTCTGATTTCTTTTGCACAATTAAACAAGGCTTAAAACAATATTAACTGCTGTCCTCTTGCTGCGTGTTCTTTCAAAAAGTAGAAGCATTCGATGAGTTGTCTGCATCTTTGCAAGCAATTTGTCAGCTCTTTCATGCTTGCCGTATGTGTGCTTAGTTTCGGGGGGGGGGGAACGCCACCAGAATTATTTTGAGCAAATTGTGCAAACCATGACAAAAAGTGCTTGCTTCCTTCATCTTATGCTGGAGTTGAGATCTCTCCTGGGAGCATGAGCTTCTGTAACAACATTTAGACAGCCTGTCTCAACCATAAATGAGAACACTGGTGAGAATTCTTCATTCCCCTAATCTGAACAGTATTTTGTGAAATCACTAGCATAAATGTGCCTACAAGCACACATCATTACATATCTCTGGGGGCATTTTTCACCAGCTGCAATCCCTTAACATTTGCATATGGACTGATGGCCAGTATTAATTTTTTTAGCTCTTGCCACCTTCTCTTCTCATAGTCCAATTGTTAATTCCATTTAGTCACCTTCTGTGCTCGGTGGAAGCAAATGAGGTCAATGGTTAAATGCAAGGAGGACAAAATGATGAGGGAGGTGCTATGAAATATGAGTTGCCCATCCTCCACCCCATTTTTCCAGTTCATAAATGCCCAGTGCTAATGACATCATAATCCATTTGCATTTTCATATCCATTAGTTTTGATAATACTTTCGTTGTTGCTCTGTTTCCAACATCAGAAAATGTCTTTGTCAAATGGGATTTATGCACTGGAGAATTCAGTGTGCCACATGCAGAACTGTCTGCTTCAGGAACGAATGTGTCATGAATGGTATAGATGGCTTATGCTGCTGTACATAGTAAAAGCTGTTTCGTGGACATGAACGTGGCTGCTGGTAGCTGCTAGTCATAATGACTATATATTAGCACTACCGTTGGAGGTCATACTATCTTTCAGTACTAGTTGCTTTAGAATATGGGAGAGAGATTGCTGTTGCATTCACATTCTGCTTATGAATGCAACACAACTACAATTCAAGATTACACATTAGGATTCATGTGGGCATTTTGCAACACAGAGCTGTAGGAAAACAATGATACATCTCACTGAAGCAGCATTGTTTGGGACTCACAAAGATATGGGCTCAGGCCGCTAGACAAAATAAATTATATGCAGGATCAAGTGCAGTATGCATTGGTAAGTAATGGTTATGTTATGACAATGGCACATTTATGTTAATATTGACTTGATAAACGGGAACTATTAAGATTTGTCAAAAGACATTTCTGGTTTTTTACCCCTAGAATATAGAAACATGGGCACAGTAAAGACCATAAAATTACAAGTTAGACAAGAAGCAATTCAGACTGCTAGGCATAAGGACACAAATAAATTTAAGCACAATTCTGTACATTTTGTACTCCAAATAAAATTTACTTAACATAATTAGGCCCCTTCCCAAGTAAGAGGATATCCAACTGCTGCCCTAGGCTTCTTTAGAAAAAAACCTGGTAGCATATTTGCCATATTCTGTATAAACTCCCAACTGTGTTCTTGCAGTGTGACTTTAGAATTCAGTTACAGTATGTTGATTTTCTGCAGAAGCCACTGATGCATAGCACTGATTGCCTTTGTCTGTGACAGCACTAACCAACCAACACCCATTCCAGCCCCGTCTCAGGACCAATTCAGCAATTCTTTCAAAATTGATTGTGTTTTCTAAAACAATGTTTCTAATGAGTCTTTTGAAATGTTGAACAGACTTTATGAAACAGTAGGGGGTAGGCTAAACTGCCTAATGTAGCAGCATTCAGATTGGGCAGAGGTGCCTCTCTCATTTAGAGTGCAAAGAGAGAAGGAATCTGGGCTCATACAAAGGAAGATGCTTACTCTGACTTAATTTTCACATCTTTAAAGATTTAATAAGAGCTTGGAAAAGTTGCTGGTTTGGACTACAATTCCCAGAATCTCCCAGCCAGCAAGGTTGCCAAGAAGAGATGGGAGCTTCATCTTCATCGCTCCAGGAGACAAATACAAAACTCTCATCTCTCCAAGCTCTTAAAGAACCTTAGGTTGCAATATAAGTTTCAGCCCTTCCCAGCCTTCAGTGACTAACTCTCTCTCTCTTTATATATGGTGCAAGTGTTTGCATATGTAGTGACGCAAGGAATACATGCTTTCAAAATACATCACAGTAAGCAGTACAGAAATAAAAATTCTGAAGCTGAATAACAGCCACTTCAGCCAAAAATGTTTTAAACTATATTTTTAATTTTAATTTAATTTTAAAAATATCAACATAAAAAGGCCCTTTTAAAAATATCTGACTATTCAGAATATTAAAGAAACACATTCTATTTCTTTACAACAAAGCAAGAGTGAAGGGTGGGAGGGCCTGAAACCTATTTGTTTCTAAGGCAGGTGTCAGAATTTACAGAGATGCTGATGTTACTCTCTACCTGCTCCTCCCCGTCAGGGCCTGCATTCAATCATTACACTTAACTGTCTGCACATTCCAGAAATATTCATATCTGCCTTTTGTCATCTTAAAGGGCCAGTCCTGCTAGCCTCAGGAATTTCAAACAATATTACATTTAAACAAGCTCCTTCAAGGGTATGCACAACTGCTGAATGAAGAGTTTTTCCATCACCCTTACCACCACTGGGGGGGAGGGGTCCACAATATGGCTGAAAAGGGCAAACCCCCCAGAAACTCCCCTCCCTTGGGGACTTCTTGTACATTTGCCCTCTGTGTTTCTGCAAGTTAGTCAGCTCTATTCTTCAGATTGTCCACGTCTTCCAATTACCATCTCACCCCACCTGTTTTCCAGAAAGGTAGCCATGTTACTGCATTGTGCCCAAACCAACAAAGTTATTGTGTAGCAAAAAAAAAATAAAAAATAAAGATTGACAAATATTACTAAAAGCTTTTGTGAACTGTGGCCCAGCTTTATCAGGTATGCCACCATGAACAGAACACAGCCTCTGTGTTTACAGAAAATAAGCTAAGCTAGGCCTGCTTACTATTTGAAGGGGAATTGACAAGAAAACTCCTCAGACATCCTGTTTAAAACCTTGGGGAGCCACTGACAACTCAGAGTGGATAATACCTGGGCTAGATAAACCAACTTTGACTTTGTGTATATGGCATCTTCCTATGATGCATGCGTGTTACCATAGTTGGCAAGTATTTACACACATGGATGTCCTGGTACTGCTTTGCAAAAGATATAAATGTTGCTCATTCTATAGTGATCAACAAGCCATAGCTGGGAGTAACATGCCTTTAGTCACCTCTGGTGAGTGGAAATTACTTCCAGTGACAAGTCTTTCTCTTCCTTCTCACCCACATGATTGGGTGTTGTGTCTATGATCTTTGAAAACATTTTTGTCAGGAGAAAGCAAGCATCACACACCACAGGTTGTTGCAGCTTCACAAGGGCAGCTACTGATTGCACATTTTGGTCCATTCTCTGCCACCTGGCTTTGGAGCATTTGCAGTTCTGAAGAGGTGACACTGAAGTTTCTCTCCTGGTGACTCCTCGGTGTCCATGGAGCAAGCTGCTCCCTTTCTCCCTACATGCAACCTGATATTGGCTTAGAAGGAGCCGAGATGGATAGTGAACGGTGGGGGACAGACAAGACAAGGTGTCAGGGGCTCACTCACTTCATCAGTGTTGCAGTCGCAAGAGAAACTTGGGGAAACTAAATAAGGGCGAGCAGCACCTACGATCCTCTACAGTCACACCTGCCTAATCGATTCACTCAGTACTCCTTAAAAATCACATATCTGTGATTTACAGGTATGGTGTGCAGCAGAGACAGAAACAAACCCTGCAGAGACAGAAACAAACCCTGTATAAATAATACAGAAGCTATAAAACACAAGTAAACATTAACTCAACAATAAAAGATCAAGTTAATATTACACTTTTGTTTCAGGTAGTTAAAAAACTTGTCACATCCTTTCAGTATGTGAGGACTCTATTACGAACCCCTCGTTGATTTTATCATCCGCTTTTGTGTTTCGACCCACACAACAACCCGGTGCAGCAGACCACTATTAGTCTCATTGTTCCGATGGATAACTAAGCGATGATACAGCCCCAAAGTCATTAATCCAAAGTAAGAGTGTACAGGATCGCAGCCCGAATCCCCAGCGGATTCACCCGTGGATCTCAGACTTGACTGGGACCGCAATCCTGTCCTAAAATTCATATATTTTGGAGCAGACCTGCATTAGAATCACGCTGTTGCTCTCTTAGTGCCTCATCCAGCTTTGCTAGCCCACGGCTGTTTAGAGGGGGCTTTGCAAACTGTCCCAATAAGCAAGGCTTCGTTTGACACCGTCCCCCAAAAGTCTTGCAGGTTCGGGGCCGCTCGGGATTTCGTGGGGAGATTCCCAGGTGCGCCCACGTGCGTCCTGTCGTGGTGAGAAGGGATGAAACGGGGGATCCAGAAAGCTCGCCTTCAAGCTTCACGAGCTTCAGGTTTCAGGGACTAAACGGGGGTGGGGACTAAAAGTGAGGAGGTGAAAAATTAAAGTGGAAGACGCCCGAGAAAAGAGAGAAAGGGCAAGAACTGGCGCTCGTCCAACGCCGTTTCCCGTAAGCCACATGCTCCCCGGCAGCTCTTATAAGGCCGAGGGCGCGGGCCCCGGCCAGTGAAGGAGGCTGCCTTTTCTGGGCTTGTTGCAAGCGGAAAACTCTGCTCCTCTCGCCGCCCTGCCTGCGGGATTTAGCGTGCCAGAAGGGGAAAAAAGGAACTCCATCGCCGCTACTTGCAATCTTGGAATTACAGCCGGCGGAGTTGTTGCCAGTCTTCGGGAAGGGCGTGTGCACGGCGAAGGTAAGAGCCGGGAGGGGGGGCGGGTGTGTGTGTGTGTGTGTGTGTGATCGGTGCTGCGTCTTGTCAGAGCCAGACCGGCCTCTTGCCTCCCCGCCGGCTTCCCCCTCTTCTCGGCTAGGGGGGCGGGACCCCGAGCCTGCAGCTGCTGAAGCCCCGCGAAGCAACCGGGGGAGAAGGTCCCTTCTTGCCAGGCGCCTCCTCGGACGCTCTCCGCAGCTCGTCCCGGGTTTGAGAGGAGCTGTGGGGAAGCAGCTGGGAGCCCTAAGGGACCGGAGCTAGCCTTAGAGCCGGCGCCCAGGCGCATTTATTCACCGTGTTGGCACAGCGTTTATGAGGGCTGACTTCCGAGGAAAGCAGCACGGGCCCAGTATAAACTTCTTTCTAAGGTGCGTTGCTCCGGGAGTGCGAGGGCTCGGCTCGGCTCGACCCTTTCCTCTCGGCGCGGCCGTGCCTCGGCTTAACCGGGCGGCAGGTCCCGCGCTTCCTCTTCCACACGGCCTCTAGAGGCAAAGCACCGGGGGGCTCGGAGCTCTCCCTTCAGGCTGTGTCCCGCTCCTTCTTGGCGACTTATCGGCTCCTCCTGCTCCCGCCTTTCTGCCCAGAGGCCTCTCCCGAGCCATGTCGGGCGGCAAAGTGCCGGCTCCCTGCGGCCCCATCCCCTGCATGTTGACGCCGAAGGCCTATTGAGTTCGACGGCCTTTTCTCCCGAGGAGAGAAAGGTGCAAAGCACGGTAACCCCCTCGAGCTCGCGCCTCTTCTCGCCGCCTTGGGCTGCTCTTCAGCCAGTACGTAGCGGGAAGCTGCATTTGTGAGCAACCAGGCAGCCAACTGAAGCTGTATAGCGCTCGCTAGCAGTGTAAACAGCAGCTGGGGTGGAGCTGCCCACGCGGTCCCTAGAAAGAGCAGAGGCAGGTTGGGCTGCTTGTTGGGTTTAAGCCGGTGACGGGCAGCAGGTTTTGGAAGTACAAAGAAGTCTCCATTTCTACCTTCCAACAGGGACTATTTTTGAGGAGAAGGGGTGGTTTCTCCGAGGTCCGGGTCTCAAGTCTTAACTAATTAATTGATAAAGCTAGAGAAACGTTATACAATTGCAACATTTAATTTGAGCCTGGATAGAATTGGCCTCCCCGCCCGCCCTATTGAGTATCCTTAAGCATACACAGAGTGTCTTTCCTTTCCTACGAGTTAACCGCCTCCCTTCCTATTTCTATACTGCTCTGAAATATCAGCATAGGTATGGTAAGTGATATACTGTATGTTAATTGTTTGAATGAATTTCTCTGCCTGGTGTAAAGAGAAAAGGGTTTTCTTTTTAGGATGTTGGGCTCTTCGAAGTTTTCTGGCATTATGAGTACCTCTCAGCATCTGCTCCTGACTTCTAAAATGAAAATCTTCATTGCCCTACAAGCAGATTGTTAAACTGAACATGATCAAGATTAAGGACTAGTGAAGTGCTCTAGAAATTGCGAACGCCTGAAATTGTGCATTCAGTCAGTTATAGAATAGAGCATTTTTTAAATCTGGCAGTAAACTAAGCATGGCCCAAAATCTTTCCAAATCTACTACAGTATTTCTACATTGCTGCTTCTTTTTGAAGATTTTTTTCTTTATGTTTCTTTCTTCACTCTAGTTGTTTGCCTTGGCTAGCAATATTGGATTGGTGGCTAGGTGCATTTGGGGGAAATTCCCAGGATGGAAGAATCTTATATTTGGTGGCAGCAGCTGTGGCATTGTAGAATTCATCTTACATGATTTTTGGGAGAAAATGGTTCTGACTGTGAACTGCAAAATATATGCATTCAAGGAAGGAGTGTGTGTGAGCATGCCAGGGCATGCACAGAGTGTCAGGGAAGGACTCTGTATTTGAGAAAGAAGGGCAAAGGAGTAAATAGGTAAAATAATTCGGGGGAGGGGGGTGGCATGAGAGGAGAAGAATAAGCAAAAAGCAGGGAGGTCCATCCTAGAATGGCATGAGAAATCACAGCTGTTGCCAGAACATGGAATATGATGGTAAGAAGAGGGATGGAGTACAATCGCAGACCCATTGCTAGTCTGACATTTTAACTTGTCCTGCAGGTTTTGGTTTGCAATAGATAAGGTGTCATATCTTAGAGCTTTCCTACACAGTTCTGAAGAACTATACACAGATAATGTTCTTCCCAACAGTCTTGCAAGGAAACTTACAAACATTAGTAGCCCATTTGGCCATCCTGCCATTGACTTTCTAATGATGTAGTCTCAAGCAAAGCATTTGGGGTTGGCATTCCAGAGACAGTTGTGGCCGCCTCTGATCACCAGTTGCTTTTGCCTCAGACTGCAAGGGGCCTTGGAGCAGGACTTCAGAGGCTGGTTCATCCACAGAAGTCAGTCAGCACTCTGGTTAGCAGATCCAGGTGTCCAGCTTTGCAAGGAAGTTCCTAGCAATCAGCTGTGGATGCCATAAACCCATAATAAGGGGTTTTGTGAAGCAGTGGCAAAAATCCAAATGGTCTGACCAACTTTCTCATTTGTGGCAATAATCAGGAAGGATTGGCTACCTTGGGAAAAGATGTTGGAGAACATGCAATAAGTATGTAAAAGTGTTTCAAGGGAAGTCTCTGGTTGCTTCTATTTCAAGGCTTTATTCTAACGTCTCATTCATAGTAGTTCCCAAACAATTTCCTCTATTGTTTTGCCATCCACTTGAAACCTTTCCATATCTGGCTAGGAGGCCAGCAGCACTGAGATCTCATGGTACTGAGTTTCTGAATTTGATGTTTTATGAAAGGAAGGAAATATAAACATTGCTTTTAAATCTTTGTAATAGAGATGGGGACAAATGTCAAATAACTTCATTGTTCAAAAGTTTATCCAAATTACAAGTATCTTCATGTTAGGAATGCTGAAAGAATTTGAGATGTTCACAATGCAAATATGGGAGAAAGTGAAACTAATTTATTTTTCCAATTTCTGTTCTGTATGGCAGGGAAAGCAGCTAGGAAATTCCAGCTGGGAAATGTTTCTCTCTCCCAGTGATATCTGCAAAATTTGCCTGGATAATAGGAGATGATGAAAATTAAGTAAGGGGCAATCCAGGAAAAAATGCTGTTGACACAGACTGGCAAAGGTATCTTTCTCTGAATGTGCTGTGCAGCTGAGTGTTAAGTATTGGGAAATTCCCAGCTTAGTTGCTCAGCTGACCAGTCCTTTTCCTAATAAGAATGCAGAAAGGGAGGGAGAAGAAGAGGAGGCGGCGAAATGGAAAGGGAATGCTTGCAAATCAGATTTAACCCTTTAGAACCTTGTTGTTCTTCAAATGCTGCATATAACAGAAGTACTGTTGGGCAGTCTGACCCCTCAATGGCAGCTCTGCTGTGCTTCTTCACGTCTGCCTTTTTGTGCCTGTGGAGTAAACTGTGCAGGCTCCATAAATAGCTACAAGGCACCGCTTATTCTGAAGGTCAGGGATGGCCAAGGGAAGTTGCAGAGTTATCATTGGACATAAGCCCAATGGCTGGCAGTCATTATTGCCAGTTTCTGACACAGATTGGTCTGGAACAATGGGACAGTGGGAAGGCAATAGAAGGAGATACTGACACACTGTTAAAAATTTCAACTCTTTCTTAAACATAAGCTTCAGTCTAATTTAGCATTCAGTTGAGGCCCACCCATCTTAAACATAATGAACAACACTAGAACAATACTTTGTATAGTAAGATGCTCTTGCTTAGTTATTAGGAGAAGAAAGAGGATGATTCTCCAGCATATGGGATGTGAAAGGAGGATGTGTGGCAAACCATTGTAAGGAAGAAACTAATGCATAGTGTTTTAGTACACCTGGTAAGATTCTGCAACACACTGTTGCCTAAAAACAACAAAACAGGCACAATACCAGGATAGCAAGGTGTGAATGGGTTCATGGTTCAGTGCTTAATGTTGATCTGTGTTTATGAAAAGTGGAATACAACATACAGTATCACTGAGGTTATTCCATTGCCAAAAAGAACTTTTCCACATTTAATCATGGCATTTTCTCCTTTCTCAACCCTTTTATAGAAGAGCATGACTTCCCATATCCCATTGGCCTTGCTCCTCCTTGTGGCCTGCACCATCAATGAGGCGGAAAAGACCAAGGAAGGCTGCCACCGGCTCATCACCGAATCCCATCTGAGAAACCTGTCAGATCTGGTGAGTTCCAGTATGATGAAAATGGGTGGTTAGAAGAATGGAACAAGAGCTGAGTAACCCGGCATCCCTTGAGGCAGTTCAGCCGTGGAGTCCAGCCTGACACTGCAGTGAGGACAGGTTTTGGGAAAGACGGACTGCTGTGAAGTCTGTCAGAGGGTTTCTTGGACTTCAGTTCCCAGAAGCCCCAGTCAGAATGACTAATGGTTAGGAAGTCTAGAACATATAGAGGGCCAAAGATCCAGTACCATTGCTTTGAGAGAGACTGTATACTGTTCTCGGCTCCTTTAATGTTGGCTTCAGGAGAGGCCTATTTCATTTTGCCCAGTGTTGAACAGTAGGTTTTCTCTGAGTAAAAAGTGCTACATAAGATTTGCAATCTGCAAGCCCCACAATGAAGCTACATAAGTAGTTAGAAACAATTAACTTTTGTTAAGAGAGTTGCACTCATGGTAGAAAAGCCTAAACCCTAATCCTAACTACTTAGACATATGCCTTAGTGGGCACATGGAGAAGAGCCACAGCATATCTGCTCCTTCGGAGAGTCAGGAAAAGAAGGGAAGTGAGACTGATAAGACAGACAGATAATCAGTGTAACAATAGATGCTGGAGGAAGCAGAGGTCAGGGAGTTAAAGGCACAGCAAGCCCTTGGTTTTCCTGCTCCCCAAATTCCTCCTTGTAGTCATGTGAGTTGAGTTGGGGCTAAGAGGTAATATTTGGATGCTACTATGCTAACAAAAAGGTCATGGTAGACAAAAGCTTTAAATTAGAAGCATTCTGAGAAAATATGCAAAACAGAAGGAAATATGAGGATTACACATCTAAACTAATTTTCAGCCTCAAGTCAACTCAAAAACTCTCCTTAAGAAAAACTATGTTCAGCTACCAAAAGCAAGGGGAGGCAATATCTTTATTAGACCATTAATTTTTTAAAGGTAGCTTTCAACCCATACAAGGCATCTGTGCATTGTAGATGATGCAGAAAAACAAATGAAAGTTTGAAAAGTCACACCAGATATCTGTGTCAGGTCTGTTTCTCGAAAGTAAGCTCCAAAATGGAGGCTGCAAACACAACTCATGTTTCCAAGCTTTGAGGAGGAGAAGTTGAAGATGTATGCTGGAGTGATGTTCAGTCCTCAGTCTTTGGAATACCTACTCCCCTCTCCTTTCTCTGAACAATTTCACATGGCATTGGTCATGCACTTCTGTATTAGCTCAGTGCCACCCTGCAGCAGCTCCATGAAGCTACCAGCTCCGCTGACAAATTGAAAACAGGGTGCCTCTCAGATGGTGAGGTCAACAAGGAGCCCAGTGGGTACCTGCAGACCTAAGACTCATAGCAACTGGCTCTTCATTCATCTACATGCCATTTTTATCTGAGGCAGAAGTGCAGAAAAGGAGAAGATAAGAATTGAGATTGGAGAGGAGGATGGATTGAGATAAGTGGTGCCAGTATTGTGTGGGGACTAATTCACATCCTTTGGTTATTGTATATACAGTGGACTTCTCTGGGAAAGTGCACTGTAATCTGTAAAAGCTTATGTTTATGCTAAAACAAATCTTAGGTTTCAAAATACCACAAGATTCCTTCCCCCCCTTTTTTGTTGTTCAATAAAAACTGAGCAGCTTCTGGACACAGATTAGGATATACTATGACTCCGCAGTAAAGAAAACTTATAGCAGTTTACTCACTCTGTGAAGATGAAATTCATAAAACGTATGTGTGTGTGATTTAAAAAAGAAAAATGTATTATAAAGAAGGAATTTATTGAGAAGATTTTGGAATTAGCAGAAATGGATATGTTAGAGAATATATAAGATAAGATTAAGTGAGTGGAATATATTGTAATAAATCTGGCTGCAATGGATAGAAAAATAGAAAAAATACAATAAAATATTTTTTAAAAAGAAAAATTTAGAAAGGAGGTCTCTGGACAGTTCCTTAGGAAGACAATATACATAGTTAAAACATAGACAGCAATTATTAGTTTCTCAGAATAACAGGAAGTACAGCTCAGGGTGATCTATAGCTACAGCATGTTGGAAGTAGAATCTTTTAGAATTTGGCCTGGTTCTTGATCTTGGCCAAGGTGGCTCATGAATTACTGTGAGGTTTCTGCTTCAAGGACTGTCCTCGTGATGAACTGGCAGAGATTCCTTTTCTGATGTCATCGACAAAGAATTCTGGAGGCTTTTACAGAATTATTTCTGACAGTGTTCCAAGTGAGAATGAGACCAGCCCAACAAAGGGCAGTAGTTAATTAGTGAACAGGAGTAATGGAACCATGACAACAGTCATGCTTTGTGATGACCGGGTGATGTGACTGTAAGGGAAACCATGACAAGGAGTTAGCCACTGAAGAATCTGTGGCCAGTTCAGGTCCTCTAAATAATCCTTATTTATCATCCCAATCTGAAGGAAAGTGTGTGGAGTGACCAGTGATTATGGAAGCTAGACTTCCCGGCAGGTTGCCTGTGGAAGGACAAAAACTATTAAAACTCTGTCCTATCACCCACCATCCCTTAACAAAGTGAAACCCCACACAGTTAGTTGAATGATGTCTGTTCTTTGCCATTACGGTTAGGAAAGGAGTCAGAGGTGTAAGCTCTTCTGTGTAGTTAGTACCTACATAGGCTGTCCAGTGTGTGTGATTCGGTTCTGCTCTGCTTCTTATTTGCATAGCTTTCTCTAGGCATCTCTGTTTTTAATCTCTGAAATATTAGAGGTTATATAAAGGCTAAACACTTCCTGAATTGTGATGTACAATGATGTTGTGCAGTCTTCTGTTCTGGAATTAATAATGCACTTTTCAACTTGTTAACAGATTTCCTTTTTATAGTCTACCCTTAACCAAATATAGTGAGTCATTTTGAGTTAACAATAACATTTTTCAGATACTAGACAACTGTTGGATAGAGAATCTGATATTAGAGAAAAAATTGTTAGTGATTAACTTTGCGGCCATAACTGTATTTTACTATAGGTAAAGCAAAAAAGTGTGCTGCTTATATACTGCCCCATAGCACTTCAAGCACTCTCTGGGCGGGTTACAAGTTAATTATGCAGGCTACACATTGCCCCCTCCCAACAAGCTGCCTACTCATTTTACCGACCTCGGAAGGATAGAAGGCTGAGTAAACCTTGAGCCAGCTACCTGAGATTGAACCCCAGGCTGTGAGCACAGTTTTGGCTGCAGTACAGCAGTTTAACCACTGCACCACCATTATGCAAAGTTGAGGCAGATGACACAAGCAGAACATTTAGGGTAACATAAACAACAACAACAAATTGCCAGTAACTTATTCTGTTGTCACTAGATTTTTCCAACCAACTGTGGGAATTTTCTGCTGCATATTCCAAAATACCTTGGTTCTAGGAACTCCAGGGGGTAGGGGCACAATTTGCTGCTCTTTCTCAACAGCAAAGGCATCTTGGGTGGGGCCTGGCATGCAGTAAGAAAAAAAATTGGTTTGCTATTGTAGGCAACCCAGCAGTTGTACTTTCATTTGGGGTTTGCCAGCCCTTACATGATCCAGTTCTTACTTGGGCAAGAGATTACAGGACTTCAGATTCTATAGCACAGAGAAAAGCAGCTTTGTGCCAACACAGGTAGAACTAGCTAAGCAATCTCACCCTTTCCAAGTGGCACCACATTTTGACTTGCAGTCTGAGTTCTACAGGAAAATGCTTAAAGGGCCAGTACTACAGCAGTTCTGTACACTTCCACTGTTTTGTGAGCCAGACCATACATTCAATAGCTATTCCTCCCTGTTCCCATCCACAACACTTTGAATTCCATCATCCCCATTTCATTTGAAGTGTTACAGAAATGCTTCTTTGTCCATTCTTGCTCCGTACCCAAGGTTAGTGACTCTTAAGCTAAGCAAAAACACATTGAGTGTAAGAACAGCTCAACAAAACCAGAATTGCAAAAAAATATAACCAAAGCTCTAGAAAAGACACAGGGCTTCTGAAAAGGGAAGCTGGCTTTTTTTTAACCTGTGCAAATCAATGCTGGTCTCTGTTTCACATTTTTATCACCTCTGCTAAATAAAGGAAATTAAGTGGGACACACTTTGAAACAAAAAAGCAGCAGAACTGTTACCAATTGGGTTACAAGTTTCAAAACAATTTATTACACATTTTCAAAATGCTCCACTGATCAGGAATTTGAAGGGCTGCTCTCTGTGGTTGTACAGCTTTTCCTCTCTGGGGCCTGCATTCCAAATAAGGGCTGCCCATTAGGTATAGGTAGGGTCTGTGTATCAGTGCACACATGCACACACATTGCATTATTCTAAGATCTTTTAAATCATATCTAATGATATGGTTTACCACCTTATAAATTCAGAAAATGGTGAAATACAAATTGCATATATTCCATAAATACCACACCCCAGTAGTTTGCAATGTCAGTACTCCGCTAAAGGATGGTTGTGTAGGGATGTGCACATAGGAAGTTTCTTGGTATGGGCAGGCAACTAAAGCAAAGGCTCTTCAAGAAAGAAAAAATATTGGCTAGCAGTCTTAGATTGCTAGTCCTTCTGTGCTGGACGTTTCCACATGGAAGGCACGTAGCACTGCTTGTTGGGGTGTAATACAACTGTTCTGTTTTTCCCTCCTTGCTATGTTTTGGTTGTCTGTAGAAAGAAAAAAAGTTGGAAGAAGCAGTGGGAAATCACAGGAGGATTACATCAAGAGCCCATGTAAAAGTCTGTGAATGAGACAGATCAGTTGCACAATAAAATCCTTCTCCAGTAGAATTCAGTTACTTGCACACTGACACAACTACTCACAGAAGTGTCAGCTGAATTCTGTACCTAGTCACTGTGACCATATTCTTGTAGTCATGAGATTTGGGGCAGACTTCAGAGCAAATAGCTGAAGCTTTAGACCACGAGAGTGGGCAGCAGGTGCCACCGCCACATCTTCAGAATGGCTGCAATGTGGATTTCAATAGCATAGTTTTTAAATACAGGAAGTTTTACCCCATTAGGATTTGTGTCTTGACTTTCTGACTCTCTGTTACAGATTGATAGTCAGATGAAAACCTCATGCAAGTATTCCTTCTGCTATGTGGACAAGACAGAACTGGTGAGTTGAGAATGTGGTAGTAACCTTTCAGCTTAAAGCACCACTAGTGTGCATTTTTCCAAGAATATACTGTGTAGACCCGTGGTTCCCAATCTTGGGTCCCTAGATGTTCTTGGATTAGACCTCCCAGAAATCCTGGCCACACCAGCTAGTGGTGAAGGCCTCTGGGAGTTTTAATTCAAGAACATCTAGGGATCCAAGATCGGGAACCACTGGTTTAGACCATGGATGGGGAATCTGTGGCCCTTCAGGTCATGTTGGATATTAGAGTACAAATTATCTGCCAGTATGTGCCATTTTAACTAGACTTGATGGGAGATGAAGTCCAACAACATTATGGGGCTGATATTCCCTGCCTCTGGTTTACATGTCAGAGCAGTGTTTTGAAATGTTGTGCCTTCATCTTGGGCATGGTGCCAGGGGCAAAGTCAACCTGGGCATAGAAACTGGAGAAAGAGCTCTTACTCCAGTATTTGCTTTTCTTACCTTTTCGCATTGCCTTTTCTTCTTGTATTAGATTGTAAGCTTGCTGGTGGGGACTGCCTCATTTCTCAAATATGAGTGTTGTACTGAGAAAATGAGTTCTGCAATTGTTAAATAATTCTAAAAGAGTGCTTAGTTTAGACCTTGGCTCTTAGGCTGCACTTGGCCTTGCTACAACTTGGCCTTGTGAAGTGGCTTAAGACAGCAATTTCAGGATATTAGCAAATTAATCACTTTCTCATCTCTATGGAGGGGCTGAAAAAAATTAAAGAGCATATCTAATAGCAGATATTCACTGCATTACTTTAAATAGAATGATTCCTGTCAGAAGCTTTAGTTTGGTTTGGTTTTCAAGGTCTGGTTGAAAGCCCGCCTGAAGAAGTGATTAATTTGCTAATACCCTGAAGTAGCTGTCTTCTTAAGCCACTTCACAATATTGGCAAAGGCTGCAGTGGACCACATGTGGTGGTTTGAAGTCTGTATGTCATTTGGATGCCAGTGTAGATAAGCCCTCAGACACTTTCATTAGTTAAAGTTTTTCCTTTTCTAGTTATAGGCTAACCTTAGAGTATGACAAGCCAGCAGTGGGCAACTTTTACAGGTCTGCAGGCCAAATGCTGGCCTGAATATTGGGTGGTGGCGGGTGAGGGGAGTGCTCCAGGATCCAAAATAATTGTCAGGTTTTTTTAACTCAGACTGAAAGTGTCAGGACATCTACTTCTGGTTTCCTTTAAGGATTTGGAGGGAGTACCTGTAACCTGTTAATGTCAATGTTCTTGTTCACTGACACTCCCGAGGAGAACATGTTTTTGATATGAAAGAGAACATTATTATTTTTTAATTGAGTGCCATGGGGGTCAGAATCTGTGAGGCTGCAGAAAGACTACTGGGGGCTGCATGCATCTTCTAGAAAAAGAAATAGTATTTGGAAATATTCAAATCATTTTTACTCTGCTTTTTTGCCAAATGGGATTCTAGTGTTGCTTACTAATTCATGTAGGAAGAAAGTCCTTGTCTTTAAGCTTGCATCTAAAAACCATGATTCTCGGAGAAAAAAGGATGTGGAGACTGGAATCAAAAGCAGGCTCAGATACCAGTTCATGAAGATTCAGTTTTCAGCAGCTTTGACCAGCATAACATATATTTTCATTTAATTGTCCCTGATGAAGCCTCTGATGTGGCCTCACAACATTCCCTGACACAGAACTGTAAAACCACTGACATGGAGAAGTTATGAACCGTAGTCCTGGGACTGTAACTCCCAAAACTACCTTCTGCATTGATTAGATTGTGGTTTAGTTGGTGGACTTGGTTTTGGCAGACAGTCTTCATGTCAATCAAAATGGTTGCCCATTCTGTCACTCTTGAGTCTTAGGGACAGGGGAACGACATTCAGGAAGAGAGAAGCAGCAGGCAGTGGGAACTGATGGTGGCAGCAGCTTAGTAATGTCAACTTTTAACCCCAGCTCTGAATAGTTCCATGATGGTACCTTTTGTTGCTGTTGTTGTTGCATTCTAGGGCAATGTTGAATGCTTTCTCAAAGCAGCATTTTCACCACTGTCAAACATTCTTGATCAAATCAAATTCAAGAACAATTCACCAAACTTCAAGAAGCTAAAAGCCATCCAGGATTTGCACTTGGAGCTTTTATTCTGCCTTGGTGATGATCATGTAGATAAGGTAAGTTCTGCTGACCAGCCTTGCAGTTCTTAAATAAATCTTAACAGAGGTAATGAGACAAAGAGATTGAGTGGTGGCTACTTCTGGCATTTTGTGGCTAAGGATGTTCAAACAGAGGACTGAGGATGGTTTGAAAGTTGCACTCTGTTAGGGTCAGACTAGATGTGACTTTACTCTTGTCTTTTACTCTGGCTTGTTCATCTGAATAACAATTAAAACAATAACAGACAGATAGCTAGTAGCGACAAATTTTTTGGAACAGATTATCGTCGCTATGCGGGGCACCACTGTAAATCTTAACAGAGGTAATGTGACAAAGAGATTGAGTGGTGGCTACTTCTGGCATTTTGTGGCTAAGGATGTTCAAACAGAGGACTGAGGATGGTTTTGTATGTGTCCTTTCTTTCATGCATCTTCTCTCTGAAAGCTGCACTCTGTTAGGGTCAGACTAGATGTGACTTTACTCTTGTCTTTTACTCTGGCTTGTTCATTTGAATAACAATTAAAACAATAACAGACAGATAGCTACTTGTGTTCTGTGACAACAAGGGAGGAGAAGGGTAAGTTGCTCTTGTTGTTGTCCAGATCCAACCCCAACACCTAGCTGATTATTTCAGGGGCAGGAATGTTCCATTGCAGTTTTTTAATGCTCTCGAAATGAGGCTGTTTCTGCCCATGAGGATGGAAGAAGAAATTTGCTGGATTGGCCCAAGGGTCTCTGTGGCTCAGCATCCAGATTCCTACAGTTGAAGTCCACTGCCAGACATGTGGTCAAGTGTGTGCTCTCTTGATCATACTCCCCAGCAACTGATACACAGAGCCAAGCCTCTCTGACTCTGGAAGGAATATGTAGCCACCATGGCTAGTAGCCATTGATGGCCTCACACTCCATGAATTTGTCCATTTTTCTCTTAGGTGTGGCAACTGTTGAAGTTGGTAGCTGCCACTACACCTTGTGGTAGCACGTTTCATGGTTTAACAATGTACTGGGTGAATAAGTACTTTCTTTTATTTGAATATTTCCATCAGTATGGAGAATGACTAGAAGAAAACAAAGATCAAGAAAGACTTCTCCTTATCAATTTTCTCCACACCGTGCATTACAGTATTTTATGCTCCTCTGCCATGTCCCTTCATCTTCCACTTTTCTAAGTTGCAAAGGCACGTGCCCTTAAGCCTTCATGCTATGCCAAGCATTCCATCTGAAGTTCTTATCTAGCAGTTGAGAGGTTAGCATTAACTGAGTGGTCAGCATCTTGTTCTATAGATGGCAATATAGTAGGCTCCTGACCACTCAGTGCCGGTGCAGAGACTTGCTCCTGTAGAAGCATCACAGTGAATGTTACTTATCAGATAGACTCCTCTAAAATATTTCTGAACACTGAGATACAAAAGATACCTCTTTAATGTGGTTCTCTCTCTCTCTCTCTCCTTTTTGCCATGGTCCATTTCTCATAGCACTGCACCAAGAGGTTTTTCCTGACTGCAGAGGACATGCTGCAGCTGGTCTACGATTACTTCAGTGACGCTCAACGTTTCCTGTCCAAACCAAATATCAGCCAGGATTGCAGCAGCATCTTTCAGAAGTGTTCAGATTGCGAGGAAAAGAAGGAAACAGAAGTCCCAGGTACATGGCAAGATGCATCCTGGGTGTGCATCTCGTTACAGATACTGCAGTAGCATTTTGGGAATGCATTTGAGTTATATTCTGTAGCTTCTATATGTGCAAATCTGTGTTTGCGCTTACACTTGTGTGTGCCATTTTTATTACTTGACTGCTAAAGTCCAAGGCTTAGAGTCTGCAGACATCTCTTGTCCTGGATGTGTACTATACCTTTGAGGCAAAAGCAAACCTGGTAGTGCTGAAGTCCAAAAATTATGTGAATTCCTGTGCAGGCTTGACTGGACAAAGTAGCATAAAACCTTGGGAAGGTTTTTTCTTAGTTCCATGGTCATCAGTTTTAGTTTTCCCCAGTCCTCCACCAATGACATTTTTCTTCTGTGCTCTGTTTTGGGGATAATATATCTGGATAAGGGCTTTTGAAAATGTCCTTACTTTTTTGTGTGTGCGTTAAGGAAGTGTTAACATTGATTTTTCTTGTACACACAAAGAACTGTTGTACTGTATTCTAATTTTTTTTAAAATTAGCATTGTTTGCTGGTAGTCATTTCATGGACATGCTGAGAATTTCATCTGTAGATCTTACATTGTTATGGTCATAGCTGACATTTGCAGATTGCATTCCTGTGGTGGCCATCAGACAAATAGGGGTGCTGGGCTGCAGAGATGGGCATAAGTGAAGAAGACATTGCATTCTAGTATGTAAACACCCAGCATTCTGTCCCATCGCTCCTCACACAATTAAAATGATCCTGAGAGTTTCATGCACATCTCTTCAGATCTCCCTGTCTCCACTAGACAGTATTGTAGAGAGCCATGGATGATGGCTAATAAGCAAAGTGAACAGATGTATTCAGGCTGAGCTGCCGTTCACTTTAAAAGTGGCTCAAAGGGAGCCAGTATAATGGATAGAGCATCAAAGTGGACTCAAGAGACCTGGGTTCAAACCTCCATTTGGCCTTGGAAACTTATTTTGAGGGGGGAAGGCACTGAAATTCCACCTCTTAAGTAATCTGACATACTTTGGAGACCCTTACAAGGGTTCCCTTAGGTTGGATGCAGCTTGATGACACATCATGTACACACATATAAGGATGACTAGTGATTTTAGCTTGAGTACCCTGTACATCCAACGATATAATGAAGCCTCTGTTCCTCCGAGTGGTGCTCAGGGCTGTGATATGAAGAATGTAGTCGCTGCCTGATTTTAGGAGCTGTCTGAGTTCTTCTGTGCTCCTGTGTCAGTCTTGTGTTTTTGCTGTATGTGCAGCACCTGTGATGACCAGGAAGGAGAGCAGGATAGAGTCAACATGCTTCCTTCCTCAATTCTTGCTTAACCAGCTGGTCCTGATGTTCCTGTGTTGCTTGTTTGCTGTCCTGCCTACTTATGTGTGCGCCCTCTAGATGTGAATGTTGGCAATACTTTTGTTTTGATTTACTAACTAGCTTACTTGCTAAATAATCTAGTGCCTTACTACTAATGCTGCTACCATTTTAGCAAGCTTGGGCTGCTTGAGCTCTTCTTGTGGGCTGTTGCCTCAACTAATCATTGTGCTCTTTCCATCAATCCATCAATCAGTCCATCCATCCATCATTTTTGGACCTTGTTGCTAGCTTCCCTCCTCCTGCTTTGTTGAGTGTTCATTGTTTCCATTTCTTGTTGCTTTTGGCATTGATCTGCTCAGGCCGAGGTCTGGTCTTTGCATGGTGTTTGAGGGAAGGGACCAATCAAGCCTCAAACATTCCTTCTGCTTCGCCCCTTAAGATGCTGGTGACTCTATGGCCGTTCTCTTTATCTGGATCTTTCAGGTGTGGTGACTGACCAGGATTGCCCATGTCTGGCCACAAGCCCCAACAGTGGGGGAGGCTTGGCTTCTCTCCATCCAGCCTCTGAGTCCTCTTCTTCCGTAGCAGACCACCTGGACAGCAAGGAGGCAGCTGACGGCATTCAGCAGCTATTTGTGCTGCCTGGCACCACACTGATACAAGGAGTGGCAGAGCATAGTACCAGGCCTAGGGTACTTAGAAGCACCCAGATGGGCTCAGAAGCTACAGGAAGCATGGATTTCAGGGCTGACACTGAGATGGTCACGTCCTTACCAGCAGAAGAGCAGCCACTGACATCTGTATTAAAGGAATCTGAACCTCAAACCACAAACTCTCTCTCCCTTTTAGATCCAGCTATAACATTGGACCAATTTTCCCATCAGCTCAAAAACATTCCTCCATCTATTTCTAGTCAACATCATATTGATTCTCTGGAGATCAAGTCTCCTGTCCCTGGTTCTGGAGATCATAGTGGCCAGGCATGGCCTGATGAAGTGAGTTCCCTTCCTTCTGGCCTTGACAAATCCTTCCTCAGTAAGCAGTGGCTTCAAACAGGAGAAATGAAAGATGCCATTACAGGACTTGTAACTGATTGGGATACAGCTGGCACCAGTAGCACACCCAGCCTAACCCTTGCATCTTCTGCTGGTCTGAAGCCAGTGGATGGCACCAGGGTGCCCTCCAGCAGCGGATGGGCAACACTCCCACCTGATGTCCCGGTGGCACTCTACCACGTTCTTGACTCTGAAGAATCTGTGTCTGCAACATTACAACCATCTAGATTGGTGGCCAATACAGACAGCCCATCCTCTCCAAGGCAGATCTCCCCAGAAAGTGGATCTTGGGGGGAGGTGGGCAACCGAGGCAGAGCCCCAGGAGGACAGCAGAGCACCCAGCTCCGAGAGAGACGAGCAGAACGAGATGAGGGCCTGGCCCAGGACAGAGAGCCAGAGGATAGCATGCCAGGGCCTGGCTCTGATCTGAGCTTCATTCCTCCAAACACAGACAAGCATACCAAGAAGCCAGAGCCCAGCGATACCCGAGGGATGACAGTGATTTATGTCGTGGTGTCCAGTGTCTTGGGGATTCTGCTGGCAATGGGAGGCCTCCTGTTCTACTTGCATAAAATCAGGGTAAGGGCCAGTCCTGGCTTTAAAAATTGTGCTCCTGTTGTCATTGCCCTGTTTCTTGGCTGCCTGGGTAGCATATGTGATGTTTTTCGAGTTGCCCAAGAAGACTAAGAGTGGTAAAAATCCCACTCTCCGCAGCAGCTAATCTCCTTTTTCATCTATCTTTGTTTTCACTGAGACATGGAAAAGAACTAGTCAATTAGGTTGGGGGGTATTTCTCTTTTGGTGCAGTGTTGCTCAGAAGCCCAGCGTGTTCTACAGAACACAAGACATTCCTTACATTTGAAAGTAGAAGCATAGTGCAAGGCGTTGACATCCCTGTCCTTGTGAGTGACGTCAAGTAGAAGAGAAAATACCTTCCTCTGACATAGTTCTTATATATACGAAGTGAAGATCTGTGGCATTTTTCCAACGTTGATGGTCTTCTGTTGTTCGAGGAAAGGCCATGAAAACGATGCAGCAGGAACCAAATAGATATGTGTTGGTCTGCTCAAAATTATGCTTGAGGAATGTGGAATTCCAGATAGATTCCATGTCTTTCACCTTGCTGATGGTGTTCATCTCTTCAGATGCTGAAGAGGGATTAAGTGTTCCTATCAGTGGGCTTGATTTGCATACACTGTAAAAGAAGTATTTTATAGGAGGAGAGATTAAACTGCGCATATCTCCTGATTTGTGGAGCTGACTTGCAGTCTGTGTTGAAAGAGTTGGACTTCATTGCTACTTACAGGGAAGAGAATATGGCCTTTGCTTTGTTTTTGTATGCTAAAAGGTTTTGGATGCTTCCATATGAACATCTTTTTTCATAGAAGGGGGAGCAGCAGTAGCTTTCTGTTAATTCTGCTTTCACTGTATACATGTGGTGAGATCTCTAGTCCTATGGAGAAGTGGGCAAGATGAGAAATTTACATCAAGCAAGAGGAGTGTAGTAACATTATGGAGCTCATGACCATGAAGCAGCCTTTTTCAATCTTCAAATCCACTTGATATGTTAGATAGCAACACCCAGCACTCAGTCAGTGTGGCCATGCTGGCTGAAAAGAATGGGTGTTGCCATTCAGCATATGTGGAAGACTTCAGAAATGGCCTGAGTAGGACAAGAGCAGGCATCACAAATGCAGTCTCATTAAGTACCCACAGCACGAATAGAAATATTTTCCATGCACGAAAGCAATGGGGTGGGGAAAGTGTATTTTTGCTAGATGTTAGACTCTCTCTCTCTGTGTGTGTGTTTGTTGGCTGCTCCAATAATGGCTGTGTTTTTTTTTCTGTTGGGATAACCATAGCACATGGAAAGGGCCAGAGAAGTCTCTTCTTGTTTTCTGCTCTTCAGACAGTACTGAAGTCATGCAGCTTTGCTTGCTTTATATCAAAATTATATGTAGTTATTCTCACTGTTCCTTTTCTTCCACACAGTTTGTAGCACAGAGGCGATCGCAGAGGAATGAGAGTAACATGGAGAGACCAGAAGAAGGAAGGTAAGAGGCTCAGTGGCTTTTTCACTCCAACATACAAGTAGGTCTTCTCCCATAGGTCCTACTTTGTTTTAGATCAGTGGTTCTTAACCTTTGTTACTCAGGTGTTTTTAAACTGCAACTCCCAGAAACCCCAGCCAGCAGAGCTGATGGGGAAGGCTTCTGGAAGTTGCAGTCCAAAAACATCTGAGTAACCCAAGGTTAAGAACCAGTGTTTTAGATAACCAAACTCCTGCCTGCTACACAGGTCTTGGAAAGATCTGTCTGTTGGCTGGGAAATTCTGGGAGTTGTAGTCCAGAGCCAGTCATTTTTTCCAAGCTCTGCTCTTGCATTTCCTCAGTCCTTGTGGCTGCAACTTCTTAATTCCAGTTTTCCACATCACACCACTTAGTCTCTTCCCTGCACAGTGCACTGTTACAAACCTGAACCTGACTGCCTTCTGTTGGGAGCTGAAAATCCTAAACCTCACCTACCAGTGCTTCACAGTTTCTGCTCTTCAACTCCATATTAGACTTATTGAATTCTTTCCTTCTTTATAGGCCACTAAATAAAGAGGAGGAACATGTGGAATTGCAGATCCAGGAGAAATTATGAGGTAAGGTGACCCTCCCTGAGGAGAACAGAGAATGCATTTAGACATATGGGAGTCTCCTATGTTGTAACAGAATTTCTGGAAGGGATAAACTAAAGTCAAGGTTGTGATGTGTGGACATTTGTCCTTCAACTGGAGGGATATAGGACCTTGATCTTAGTAAACAGCTGTATGAACACCAGATGTTGGCAGTGAAGAGAGAGGGCTGTTGCTTTCCTGCCCAGCAGGTGCATTTCATCAGAGCTAGGAAAAGTTACTTTTTTTGAATTACAGCCCCCCAAAATCTCCCAGCCAGCATGGCTACTTGATATAATTTGGGGAGTTATTGTCCATAAAATAAATCTTTCAAGCCTTGGGTCCTGGTGGCAAATACTAAAAAGAGGAAGCTGGGTTAGATGATCTCTTGCAGTTTTATGTGTAGGTTCAGGTAATCAGCTGTTGTCCTCTGAAATCAAATGCCACTGAGGGCATTTATCCTGTTACCTCCTTTCTGTGTAGCGATTTGCTTCCTGCAAATGAAGATAGGAGCTATGGAATGTAGGTTTGTCCCTAAGGGTCAGCAGCAGATAAGGATCAATTTACAGTGCATTCCAGGCCCGGGGCAGTGGCGTGGGTGGGAACCCGTAGTAAAACTACCACTTTCTTGCGTGACTTTGCTTTTTGTGGAGTCAGAGGTCACCCAGGAGTAAAGTGGAGAAGTTGTATCTGTGATGAGTACTGAGCAAGAACTGGTAATCCTTAAAATTCACCCTGCTTCAGAAGGTCAAACTACGCTTTCCCAGAAGTTCTGTGACTTGTTTATCAAGACTTCATTTAGATCAGTAGAAAGTAACAAGATCCTGAACATGTTGCAGGAGGCCTGTTCAAACAGTCTCCTTGCCAGCACAAGATGCTGGCTTCCAAATTAGAAGAGAAGAAAACTCCTCTGCCTTGAGAAGTGACAGCTTCAGAAATAAATCCCATGAATATGCCTCTTTTCATTTCAGTGAAAGAATGAATACTGTCTTGTATTTTTTGTTAATTGCTTAATGGACTTTCTAACCCCAATCAGGCCTAAACAAGAGATGATATAAGGTCGCTAAAATTTCCTCTGTGGTTGCTTGGTAAACTTAGTTTTGAAATATGTATGTCTTGATACATAATTTTTAAATATCCAGCTGAGGCCTAATACCTAGAGAAAGCATTTAGCTAGTTTTTCTTTGCTTGACTATAATTATAGTGTTGGTCTCTATGTTTCTTTTGTCTACAGAATAAGGATTTCAGTGTGGCTGTAATTTATTGTTATTGTTGTATTTTGCTTGTGTTCTGTTTGTAAGCTGCATTCATTTTATCACTACACAGAAAGTGTGATATAAAATATGACCCTTGAAGTGACTTACAGTAAAATATACTGATCTGTCCTTGGATACCCCAGGTTAGATAGTCTTATTGCTCTTGTTAGACATTGCATTGACATGGTGATGGTTGTTGTATCCTTTTCTTACAGGTGGTCCTTTCTTTTGGTGAAGAAAGAAGCTTGTGAGGCTTGGACTATAAGCCCTTTTATGTATGATCCTCTCATTGCTATTGAAAGGAGTTAACACCAACTGGACACTGGGAATTGAAGGCATTACTGCGGGACTTTCTCATGAGGAGTGTTTTAATCTGTCCTTTTTTTAGTGATGGAAAGAATTTAATGAGGAAGTGGACTCTTATTTATTTCTGGCACTGAAGATTGGTTTCCCACAACGTTGCCCTGGTTTTGCCAAACATTCAACAAGCTGGAGCTTGATGAGTAGGAGGGAGACTGTCTGGAAACTGACATGGACTTAGCCTCCTTCTTTCAATGTGGTGAGGAGGAGCATTTCTGCTTTTCAACCAGTATGCCAACTGCTACCTGGAGTAGGAGGGGGAATGTCCCTTCCAGAGTTCCTTTGAGGGGAGGGCAATATTCGGTTCCAGTGCTCCAGTCTCTGGGCAGGAAGGTTCAGCCAGCTCTTCTAAGAGCCTCTGACTTCTCTCTTGAACTGTAGAAGACCTTAGGATCTCTGTTCAACTATATTTTCCTAGCCACAATCATCAGTGATATGGATGATGGCAACCTGTAGTAGTTCAAGGAAAACAGATGGCTTCAAACCCTCATCTTCTAAGCTGTGTGTATCATGCAGCCCTGGCAGGAAGGACATATCCCTCTAAGATCTTATCTGCTTACAACTTAGCTCCCTGCATAACCTCGTGCATTAATAGGAGAAAGCTGCTATTGGCTGTCTCAGCAATCATCTGGGTTTTCATTCCCAGTGTCCAGCTTTTAACCTGAAAAACAGGACCCACTTTTAGCCTTGACTTACTAAAACTCAGGTGGGTCACTTGGAGGAGTAATTTCTTAATAAAAGTGATTTTAATTGCATTTTAGGACAAACAAAAAAGAGTGCTTCATAAAGCACAATATAGGAAATTCACCACTGTAGGATGTGGTGATGTGGCCATTAGCTGGCAGGTTTTAGAATACAATGAAGAATATGTACAGCCCACAGAGGACATCAGCTTGAGCAAACTGGTGTATAAAGCATAGGTCTGTTGATGGCTACTAGTCCTGAAGGCTAAAGAGGACCTTTATAACCAGCTTATTTGAAACTCTGGCTTTGTCAGCCTTTATCTTTCTGTGCATACAACAGCAACAACAGATTATGTTGATGATATAAGCCATCAGTTGGAGGGCCACAGGGGTCAGGTCATAATGTTTATGAGTTTAGCAGCCTTTTCCAAACTAGTAGTGTCCAAATACATTGGATTAAATTTCCCAGCACCCATTACCAATACAGCCAAGGGAAGATGCCAGCTTGAGGAAGGCTAAAGTTTAAAGCCTTGACCTTTATCCCCTTGTTTGTGTCTATCACAGTAAGAAGCAAATATTTAGTAGCGCTGAAAGGCCCAGAAGCAGTTTTAGTCCAAAGTGTGTTGTGACTACCCCTCTATAGCCATGCAGATGCTGCTAGTTATGTTGCAGCCAGTTTAAGCTGCTGTTTGCACTTTCTGCCTTCTAGAGCTTGCAGAACATTGCAGGGAGGGTCATCAGCCCAAGGAAAATGTCCACATTTTAGCACTGATTTCTCCTCACTTTTGCTTCTTTCCAGAAGGACCAATGACTATCAGGGAATACTTTTGCCCATAATTATCTCACTGCCTTCCCCCACCTCACCCCAAATCCATTTTGGAAACTGAGGATACAACCACATTTATTTCTTTTGGAAACCTGAACTTGCCAAAAGAATACAGAGCAGGTTGTCTGGTGAGGGTGGGGGAACTGGCATGGAAGAAGTGCCTTAAAAGAAGAAGGAAGTACTTAATTCTAGCTACGCTTACTGATTCTCTGTAGCAAACGGTTCTCTGGGCTGTATCCCACCACCACCACTTTCAGAACTTTATTATGAAGGGAAGAAATTCATTAGGGATTGGGAGGGGCTTAATTCAATTTTTCTTTTTAGAGGAAAATTGAAGAAGGGAGCAGCATAGTGTCACCTTGACATAACAAAATAATTTTTAGGTTGAACCCGTGTTTTGTCCTTAATGTACTCTGAATGTTAATTTTTAGACAAAGTAGGCTTTCTCCAGAAATAATTACACTTCTCTCACTCATTTGTATTCCTCTTCCATGTTGTAGTGGTGGGCTGCTCCACGGGAGGCAAGCAAGAGTTGCCATGGGCCAGTTCTAAACCGAAACCAAGCTGTTGCACTATGTATACGTAAATGCTTTTCCTGCTGTACTCTGAAAACATTCCAGTCTCACGTCTAGGAGTTAGTCTGTCGGGCCTGGGTAGGGAGGCTGCCTAGATGGTCAGTCTTGCCCAGCTTCATGCCGTCCTGTTCCTCATCTCAATTTGCACCTTTTCTTCTGTCGGTATCATCCTCTGCCTTTGGCTTTTGTTTGTGATAAGGCAGGGGGTGATCCTGAGCTGGCCTCAGGCTGACAATGCTCTATTTCCCATTTTAGCTTTAATGAGATATAAATAAATAAATATATATATTTTTGATATACTGTTATACTGGAGGAAGGGTTGGGTACAAATAGCTGGGCTTTGTGAAGTGGTGTCTCTGAACAGGGGGCATATATGTTGCTTTATTAATGTGAGCTGGCCTCATATTTGCAAAAGGATTTGGATGGGTCTTCTCATTCATGTGCCACTGAATCATATTCTGACTTCTAGCCTGAGGGCAAGATCCTGAGCCATTGGGGCATGCAGCCCTGTGTGCAGTGTTCATATTATATGATGTTGCCTTAGCTAACTTCTGCAGCTGATAGACCTTGCTCACTTCAGCTTGTGTTGCAAGAAGGGATGACTTTATTCTTCAGTTGAAATATCTGCTACTCTTTTCTCCCTCCCGCTCTCCTTTCCAGTCTGGCTTCTGGTCCTCATGGAGGGCTTGGCCACACCTCAGAGGCATAGCGCCACATTCTCACTTTGCTTTGAGCAGAAGGGAGTTTGACAATGTAGGCATTCAGACCCTAACATCTTGTAGAGGCCAGTGAACCATTGCACAGAATTAGCTCTAACTTGCAGGAAAATGGAAGATCTGTCCCTGTTTTTCTAGGACCCCATGGCCAGATTTATAATGGTGTTTGGATGCAGCAGCCAATAACAGAGCTTGGGAAAAGTTGGGTTTTTTGGATTGCAGCTCCCAGAATGCATCAGCCAACATGGAGATTTTAGGAGCTATAGTTTAAAAAAGCATGGTGTCCACTCTCTGGTCAGTAGGCATGCTCTATCCTGAGCACTTACATTTTAGCACAGTAATCTATAAGTAGTAAGGCCAAATTCTAATATCAGTCCTTCACTGGGTGTCTTTATTTTTTTATATCTATGTATGTGAGAAACCAGTGAAGTTCCTTTAAAAGAGAGTTACAATTCTGGTTCAAACTGTGTTCTTTTTATATATATATATATTTTCAAACAACAAAATGTTTTATATAAAAGACTTTTAAAATGGTTAAATGTTTATTTAAAAATAGAAAATGTATTTAATAATAATAATAAACACTTATGTGTAATGCTTTTAAGTTCTGTGCTGTTGTTGACTATGACAGTTGAAGGATGCTTTTGATCAGTATGAAACAAATATTGTCAAGCCTCTGACAATATTTAGGATGCTTGGAGTGGCTTTTGGTTTATCTTGGCATGATGTTGAGGCAGTTGTCCAAAGCTTCAGCAATATGCCAACTTAGTCCTCCCAGTTCTCGATACTATCTAGCTGGGGTTGTGTGATTCCCACCATAAGACAAAAGCAATATGGCATACACAAAGGTACGGTAGATACATGGATATTCATTAAATAGAAATGTATCAATAACTAGCAGTAGTAGAAATGTAATATTCGCTGTATAAAATCAGGGAAGAATATAAGTGTTATCTGTAGATGCTCACAGTCAATGTTCTCATGCCCGTACAAAAGTTTTAGAACTCACCATCTCAGCTTGCTATTGGAACAACCAGCATGATGAACTGTTAATGGTTTTGAGATTCTCAGTGTGGTGGCGTATGGAGTTATTGTTTTCTGATATAGGTAAGATATAGAATGTCTATGAGTTCATCTAATTCAAAACATGGACATTGTCTAGAGGGGCAGGGTAAAAATCTAATAAAATAAATAAATAAGACACAGTAAAGCAGGAAAACATTATCTTGTACACCAGTGACATGGTTTATTAAATAGAGGAGCCTGCAAGCTGAAGTCTTGAATGCCTTACTGCTCAGAAAGAGAAAAGATGGTTGATCATCATTACCAAACATCTCTTTTTGCTGCCTGAAGGGATCACTAAGTGATACAGAAGAAGGTGGGTCCTTTAAAGAAAGAAAACAAGCAGATCAGGTTTCTCCAGATGAATCCCGGAACCCAGAAAAGCTGATAATTGGTAGGAAATGATCCCAGCTGCACAGTTTCTCTCTTTCCCTCCTCCTCCTCCCCTCTGCCCCACTTGCCCTGAAGCACAGCTCCTTGCAGAACTGGCAACAACACTGAAATATGAAGAGTGATAAAAGTTTGGGCAAAGCCTGACATCCATTCCAAGTTACTTAGTTTTTTCTTGCAAGTCACCAGGAGCCTCTCTAGAATCAACAAGAAATTAAACATAAAAAGCTCAGTGGACTGAACTTATACCCTTCATAATTTATGATAATTAATCAATTAAAATACATATTTAGGCAGTACATAAACAGACCCGTGTCTCATAACAATTCTAAACAAAGTGACAATATTGGCCTGATTAATTTTAACAATGGTTTCTCCCTCTGCTGAAACAGTTGTACGGAAATTTGAAAGAAGTAAATGTGAGTATTCTGGTCACAAGAGCTCATACTGAAATAAAACTGCTAGTCTTTAAAATGCAACAGTGTTTTGCCTCCCCCTCCCCTTCTTTTCTTTTGCCAACAGTTGTAGGCAAAGTTGCTGAGAGAATGGTATTTGGTCTAGGAAGGAAGAATAGACAAATCACAGTCCTGTATATCATGGAAAATAATAATGACTCCCAACATTTAAATACTTCTGCATATTTCTTGTAACTTTTAAAAATTACACAGTGTTTTATAACAAATGCTTACCCTACTTATCATTATTCCCGATTCCTAGGGCATCGATTGCAAGTAGATCACACCAAAAATGTGCATCACAGGTTTATTTTATTCTCAGTTTTGCAGCAGTTAAGGCTTGATCCCATTGACAAAAAATCCATGCTGTACCAAGTTCTCCTTAAACACTACACAAATGTAAGTGTACACACAAGGTACATACAGACTACTGTGCCAGGGGAGTGAGTTATAAACAGACCCCTGCCAGAGTCTTTATTTTTGGATGGATGTGGAATCAATTCCAAGGAACTGATTCCAATATGTGACCATCCCTTCCAGTTTTCAAAAAATAAAAAATAAAAAAATTCTGCTATCTGATACTGAGCTATACTTGATAACAGGAATGAAAATGAATGAATGAATGAATGCACCCCCATAGCTCTCCCACCCCTTGGTCACCTGTCCCTGTGTCATCCCATCCTCACCCTGTGCCCTCTCCCTTTTCACCTCTTTCCCTTTCATCCTCTCCTCCCCCATTGTTTGATTGCCCCCTGCCTGCTGCCCATGACTAACCTTGCTTTGCCAAGCAGTGGGGGACTCCCTGTCACTGCCTCCATATCTTCCCCTTCTATTTCCCAGGAGGTAATGGGATCAGTGGCCATGATCTTAGTTTTTTTCGATGTTGAGCTTCAGACCATTTTTCGTGCTCTCCTCTTTCACCCTCATTAAGAGGTTCTTTAATTCTTCCTCACTTTCTGCCATCAGAGTTGTATTATCTGCATATCTGAGGTTGTTGATATTTCTTCCAGCAATCTTAATTTCAACTTGGGATTCATCCAGTCCAGGCTTTCGCAAGATGTATTCTGCACATAAGTTAAATAAGCGTGGGGACAATATACAGCTTTGAAATTTTCCTTTCCCAATTTTGACCCAATCAGTTGTTCCATATCAAGTTCTAATTGTTGCTTCCTGTCCCACATAGAGATTTCTCAGGAGATAGATAAGGTGATCAGGCACTCCCATTTCTTTCATAACTTGCTATAGTTTGCTGTGGTCCACACAGTCAAAGGCTTTTGCGTAGTCATGGAAGCAGAAGTAGATTTTTTTTGGAACTCTCTGGCTTTCTCCATAATCCAGCGCATGTTAACAATTTGGTTTCTAGTTCCTCTGCCCCTTCGAAATCCAGCTTGTACTTCTGGGAGTTCTCGGTCCAGATACTGCTGAAGCCTGCCTTGTAGGATTTTGAGCATAATCTTGCTAGCGTGTGAAATGAGTGCAATTGTACAGTAGTTGCAGCATTCTTTGGCACTGCCCTTCTTTGGGATTGGGATATAGACTGATCTTTTCTAATCCTCTGGCCACTGCTGAGTTTTCCAAACTTGCTGGCATATTGAGTGTAGCACCTTAACAGCATCATCTTTTAAGATTTTAGTTCCACTCGAATGCCATCAACTCCACTGGCTTTGTTTTTAGCCATGCTTTCGAAGGTCCATTTGATTTCACTCTCCAGGATGTCTGGCTCAAGGTCAGCAACCACTCTATCTGGGTTGTCCGGAACAAGCAAATCTTTCTGGTATAATTCCTCTGTGTATTCTGGCCACCTCTTCTTGATGTCTTCTGCTTCTGTAAGGTCCCTACCATTTTTGTCCTTTTTTCATATCCATCTTTGCACAACATGTTCCTTTTCTTGAACAGATCTCTGGTTTTTCCCTTTCTATTCTTTTCCTCTATATCTTTGCACTGTTCATTTAAGAAAGCTCTCTTGTCTCTCCTTGCTATTCTTTGGAAGTCTGCATTCAGTTTTTTGTAACTTTCCCTATCTCCCTTGCATTTTGTTTCCCTTCTCTTCTCTGCTATTTGTAAGGCCTCCTTGGACAGCCACTTTGCTTTCTTGTCCTTTTCTTTGGGATGGTTTTTGTTGCTGCCTCCTCTACAATATTACGAGGCTCCATTCATAGTTCTTCAGGCACTCTATCCACCAAATCTAGTTCCTTAAATCTGTTCTTCACTTCCACTGTGTATTCATAAGGGATGCATTGTGATAGTGATGACCAAAAGGAATGGAAACAGAAAATGGTATGGCAGCTGTACTGCTGGAGTTGGCTCAACCTCCCGTCTTTTTCTGTAAAGCAATGATAGGATAATTGAGAATAGATCAAAAGGAGAGAAACAGAAGAACCAAATGGCAGCCCTAACTTGAGCTGATGCAGTAGCCTGGGAATGGAGTATCATGAAAATTGGAGAGAAAGTTTATTATTATTTATTTAATTTTGTTCATTACATTTATACCCTGCCCATATAGTGCCAGGGCACAACTGGGTGGTGACAATTAAAATACCATGACCCAATACCACCCAAGACATAAATTAAATACAATCAAAATACATTAAAAACCAAAGATATCTTTCCCCCCTGCCCAAAACGCAGAAAACCTGGACAGCAAATTAAAATCAAGATCAGTTACTGGGCCC